AAATATATGAGTTTGTATGTAATGTATGAATATAATATACAAGTTTCACTTTTTAAATGGAATTACTGAAATAAATCTACTTTTTCATGATATTCTAATTTCATGACCAGCACCTGTATGTGTGAGCTGTTCTCTGTGTGGGTCTGAACCTGAATCTGTGATTCATCTGTTCTGGAACTGTCAGTATACTGCCACCTTCTGGAGAGAAGTAAATCAGTTTATCCAAGTGAAGACTGACTCTGTTTTCTCTTGTTTAATGTTTTGTTTGGTCTTCATGATGTAAATAGTAAAAAAAGGAAGACAAATGTATGTCATAAATTTAATATTCCTCTTAGGCAAATACCATATACACAAATCAAAGTTCAGTCACTTCACTCCCTCTTTTTTGGTGTTCAAAAAGGAATCTGAACAATATATCATAAGCATCTCTGAGTCTAATAATAAGAAAGCTGTAAAAACTATTGACTTATGCACCTTATTTAATGTCTTTCTGTATATGTATCCCCTGGCTTTTGTTCAAATGTATGTTAACTGCCTTGTAATAGTTGTTTAATAAAATAAAAAAATTTAAAAATGCCATGATTGCGTAACTTTTGACGCAACCCCCCTCGCGCTCTGTGCTTTGTGTCAACTGTAACCTAAACTTTAATCTCTGTAGTTTGTCACTCCCCGTGTGTCGAGCCCACAACAGTCAGCGGCACGAACAGCCATTTATCTGTCAAGTCAGAGACTGAACATGGAGCATCTTGTTTCCCTACTCTTTTCCAGTCCCACCACAGTGATAGGAGCTGTTTTCCTCTTCCTCGTCTTTTATTTTGTCTCGACTGGATCCATCTCTGGGGACGGGAGGAAAGAACCTCCAGGACCCAGAGCGTTGCCTCTGCTTGGCAACCTGCTGCAACTTGATCTCAACAGACCCTACAGAACTCTGTGTGACGTGAGTTTCACTCAAAACAATGCATTTTGGACCGGGTTTCAATCACTGTTTCATTTGTCTTCTTTAATTCTTTTTAGCTTTCCAAGACCTACGGATCTGTATTTACGGTTTACTTTGGGCCAAGAAAGGTGGTGGTCCTCGCTGGGTACAAGGCGGTCAAAGAGGCACTGGTCAGCTACGCAGAGGAGTTTGGAGAGCGAGAAGTTCCACCTATATTTAAGGATATAACCGGCGGTCATGGTATGAACTTCATTACTGGTTGTCTTTTTGAAATGCTTAAAATTACAGGGACAAAACTAAACATAAAATGAGGTCAAGGAAACCAAAATAAGGCTGCAGCATCACATCTGTTAAAAGCTTTACAGCTAATTGCATTACCTGATCTTTCAGATTTCCAACAAAGCTGGTTGATATTTAACAAGAGCTATGATTGAGCAATGGTGTTATGTATGCAGGTCAGAGGGTCGTGTCATCTTACAGAGCAATAAGGGCGATGAAGAGAAATCACAAACAAAACAAATCATTAAGGTTTTCTGTCATTTCTGAAAGCTCCAATGAAATGATCTTATCATTCCACCATATTTACGCCTTTTATTTATTTTCCAATTACCAAAGCATTTGCACAAGTATGGATTTGTCACAGTAACAATCTAAAGCTTTTTTTATTTAAACAAAATTGTGGCCCACTCACCGAGAATGAAAGTACATGAAATGTTTTTTTTTTCTTCATGGTCCGTGTATCTTTTGGTCATTGGTTTTTCATTTTAAAAACGGGTATTAAATAACAAGAAACGATTGGATATTTGATTTTTGTTTTAAAATACTGAAATTAAAATTCAAACACAAAGCGTTTCTCATTCTTAGTGTCAAAAGGGGATGAGAAATTTTTTTAAAATGTTTTGAGTTTCATTTTCTGTTTCAGATAACATAAAAGAAAATTAGTTTAAGACGGAAACGAAAAAAGGCTTGATTGTTCATATTCTATGACAGGTCGTGCCAATTTACTGTATCCCTACAATAAACTGTTTCACCACCAGAAGGGGTGTCTGCATCATCAAAGTTACTCAATGAACATCCCATTACAAGTAAAAAGCATTAATGTTGACTTCGGTAGCAAATAGGTCAGTGTATCTTTTGGTCATTGGATTTTCATTTTTGAAACGGGTATTAAAAAACAAGAAATGAGTGGATATTTGATTTTTGTTTTAAAATACTGAGATTAAAATTAAAATACAAAGCGTTTCTCATTCTTAGTGTCAAAAAAGTGACAAACAAAATTTTAAAAATGATTTGAGTTTAATTTTCTGTTTCAGACAGCAAAAAAGAAAATTACTTTAAGACAGAAACGAAAAAAGGCTTGTTTATTTGTATTTTACGACTATTTATTACCCCACCGGAAGGGGCGCTCACCTGGCAGCTCTGCATAATGAAACACTRATTTCTGTAAATAAGAGACTGAAACACAGAGAAGTATGTCCATAAATGAGTTGTATGATGACTGTTGCTCTGTGACCAAAGGCTTGCAGAGATAATTCATGTGGCTTTTGGCCAAATAAGTCTCTTTTACTGAATACATGTCAGCTACTGCCTCCATGTTTCATCTCCATTTATCTCAATAAAAAGCAAAATATGACAAATTTCATTCTATTAGTGTGTTGTACAGTTGTTGTTCTGTGAGCACTAAGGTTTTTTTTCCTTTTTTTAAAAAGGGAAAAAAATGTCACTGATGATGAAGAAGTTATGAAACTGATACTCAATTCTTTCTACTGAAGTGGCAAAAATAAAGTTTTTTTCCCTCCTGAGTTTTGACAAAATCTGTGCTTGTTTTGTTTTTCTGTCAGTTTGCGTCCTTAGAATTTTCCTTTCAGCGAAGGGTGGCAGTACTACGACTTTGATATTGATCTGATTCCAAATAAATACTTGGCAAATATATTTGCTACCAAAGTCAACATCAATGTTTTTTACTTGTAATGGGATGTTTATTGAGTAACTTTGATGATGCAGACAACCCTTCTGGTGGTGAAACAGTTTATTGGGATACAGAAAGTTGGCATGGCCTGTCATGGATTATGAACAAACAAGCCTTTTTTCACTTCTGTCTTAAAGTAATTTTCTTTTATGCTATCAGAAACAGAAAAT